CTACTTTTCGACCCTCCGGAGCCACGAATCATTGGAAAAACACAGTGAGTCGCATCTTTTTTGCCTTTTCACGCGCCTGCATCTTCTCTCTTCTGATTCTTTCTCTTCTCTGATCTTCTCTCTTCTGCTCTTCTCTTCTCTGACTCTTCCCATCTCTGCTTTTCATCTATCCATACTGTCCGAAGTTTGACTTCTAAACTTCCTTCGAGAACATGTAGATTGTAGATTTATCAAAGGGCGTGAGGAAGCAACCTTCCGAGCTACGAATATTATTCAAATATCTTTCCATCACATAACAATATATCGCCGGATACTACATCACAAAAGACAACGTCACATAACACCACATTACAGAACATTACACCACATAACAATTACATCACAAAACAATACATCACATAACAATACATCACATAGCCACACATTACACAACAATGCATCACATAACTTTACATCACAAAACACTACATCACATAACAATACCTCAGTTAACAAGACATCACATAACACGACATCACGTATAACAGTACATCACAAAACAAGATCGCAGTGTAATGGCTGCATTGCATGATTGTTGCCATGTTCTGTTGCCATGTTCTGTCGCTATATGCGTGGATACATGCGGGTTTGCCACCTGATGCTGCAAAACGCGTTGTAATGGCTGCGTGAATGTTGCATGTGTGTTTTCGGGGGGAAGCTGGAGCGCGATTTTTTTCGGGTAAAGTGGATGCCCGGCGATGAAGGGCAGCTCGTGCGGGAGGCGGTTGCGGCGGCGGTCGTTTCGGACGCGAATCGGTTGCTCCTCCCTGTTCTGCAAAGGGCGCTTGTTCATGCGTGCGTAGTTTTAGGGTGTTTTGGAATCTGCGGTTGCAGGTCGCAATGTACTGCCTGATTGTTGCCATGTTCTGTTGCCATGTGCGCAGATACATCCGGTTTGTGACGTCATGCTGCGAAACCCATTGCAACCGCTGCATGAATAATGTTGCACTGGGTGTTTTGGGAAGGAAGGGCCGCCTCATCGCATCGGCCTCATCGGCTCCAGTGGCTCCATCGGCCTCCTCGCGATTCCAGCGGCTCCATCGGCCTCATCGGCCTCATGCGGCTCCAGCGGCTCCATCAGCTCCATCGGCTCCATCGGCCTCATCGGCCGGGGCTCCATCGGCTCCATCGGCTCCATCGCTATATTGTTTTGCTTTCTGAAAACCCCAGTAGACCCCGAAGGAGGCGGAATCAATTGCGGCCATTTTGCGCCTATGTTTTGCTTCGCTTTCTTTTGGTTTGTATTGATGCATGGCTTCTTGTCTTGCAAGCTAATTTTCAAGTACATGCATCCCTTTTCTAGCTGGACGGTCTAGCCGGATGGTCTAGCTGGACGGTCTAGCCGGACGGTCTAGCTAGATTCCGGTACAATACTATGTAGACTGCAGGAATCAACCTTGCCCTGCGCTGGTCCGTTCATCGTTTAAAAACAAAAATGGTAAAACAACTGATTTAATTTTCAAAAATATAACGCGCTGGGAAATAGCAACTCCCAGCATGCTATGGAGAGAGTCTGTTGTTCCAGCATTTTTAAAGCAAGACTTGGTCTTAATTGTTTGATCTAGTGCATGAAAACATCATGTAATGTTTGTGCCTAGTGAGGAAGTAGTTTCAGATCTGATAGTGTATAATAACCTTGCTACAACTATACAATATGTTTACACATATATATATATCTATCTATCAAATCAATAGCAGTCTTCAAGTGGATACTGATGTCTCAAGAGCTCCTTGTGATATAGGCAACATGGTTGTTGCACATGCCATAGCCATATGCTGTATCAACACATCCAAGGTGCATATGTGTTTAGAATGTGACTGTAGCCATGTTATGTATTATATATATAGGCATTGATGGACTTGCATTTCCCTTGTTAGTACTAGTGTATGCAGCTATGATATGGATGGTACAGAAGTAGCGCATGCCAATACATATACACATGTTCCACATATACTTTGCATATGTAATGGAACTCTTCCAAGATTCAATGTAGTTGAGATTCTTTGGTTGCAACTGACTTTGATCATAAGAGCTCGCAAATGGCAAGAGCAAATCCAACTTATCCTTTCTCCAAAAAAATGCATTTTTTCCTGCATATTTCATAGTAATTTGCTATGTCACTGCACATGTAATGCAGGTACCCTATTACCACAACTGTCTGGCTGTGCTTTTATGACAGGATGAGTAACACCCAAAAAGAGTGACGAATTTTTGTAAAATTTGCCAGAAAACAACTATGACACAACACATGCGGCTAGGAAGTAGCAGCTCCCAGCATGCATTCATATGGAAAGGGGTCTCTTCTCCATCCTTTTAATCAGTACTCACTCCTGTTCTTAGTTCGTTGATCTACTGTATGAAGAGTTTTATGTGTTGTTTGTGCTTTAGTGGAGGAATAGTTTCAGCCAGTATGCAAGCGCGTTGTCACAAGGGTGCAATATATATATATATACACAGTAGAAATGGCAGCTTCAAACATGCACTGATATCTAAAGGGTTCCTTGTGATATAGGCAATACAGTTTTTTGCACATGCCATAGCCATTTGCTGTGTCAACACATCCAAATGCACTTAGAATGTACCTATTGTCTATATAATATAGTACATACAGTTATGGAATGGGTGGTATATAAGTCACCTATGCCCTTACAAACACAAGTTTTGTACTTTTTTTTTTTTGCATATGCAATGGTATTCTTCCAGGTGTTAACTCACTAACAAATCTTTGCTTAAAATACTTGTTGATCACAAGAGTTTGCAAATTCCAAGAGCACTTCCACTTCCACCTTGTTTCAGAAGGAACATTTTTCCTGCATCTTCCATGGTAATTTGCTGTGTCACTTTAGATATAATGGCAAACATCCTGTTGCCACGGCTGTTTGATAAAGAATGTACTCATGAAAGATTTAAATTAAACTATGTCAGTATAAGTTCATGATGGTAACCAGAACGACACAAAACCATGTAAAAGAAACACCTAAGCAACCTTACCAAACAATTGTATCTATAGAATGGCTGCCTTGCTTGTGCATTGATGCAGCAAATCACCATGAAGTATGCAACAGATATTGCAATTACTTGGGCAGAGACAGTAACTTGGAATTTGAACTGCCATTTGCCATCTGTAAAGGCGACCTGGCACTGCAATCTCAAAGACCACCAATGCAAATACAAAGTGCTTTAAATATATTTACATGTGTATATATATATATATACATAATCTTTGTAATAGCTGTATACCTAGGAAGTACCAATATATAGATATATACATGAAGTACCAATTGATACAATGAATATACTATTAGTATATGTCTCAAGAGGATATTGGGGAAAGAACTTTGGCATGTTTATTCCAAAACCACCTATCAAAACCAACGGAACCACAAAAAGCAAGCAGCCAAAAATAGAGTTAAGGATTAATACAGAAACATAAATGAAAATAATTCATATTGCAGAATGTGTTTCATACATCCTTTCTACAGTAACATGAATGAAAATAGCATCATATAATATCAAAAAAAACACCATAAAACACTGTAAAAATGGTGGTGCCTACCACTCTCGTATTCTTAGGGTAGTATCAACATTCTCTATCAAGTTAGAACTTAGAACCATTATTTGCCTTTAATCCTCTTCACCAAGGCAAATCGGTATTCTGGTGGATTTTGTGGGAACATGCAATGAATGATGGTTGATACATTCTCATTTGGGTTTGCCTGAAAATTGGGCGTGTTTCCCATCTTCCTATTTTGGCAGATTTTATTCCGGGCAATCTTCAAAATCCACGTCCGAGTCGTTGGCTCTTCAATTGCTGAGGAGAAGAACTGGACACCACCAGAGGATGTCGTGATCAACATCGCACCTGACAACTGTTTCAAGACCAAGAAGTCCAGGTCTCAGTCTTTGTGGTCAGTTCAAAGGAGGTTACGGCGGCTCCAGGCTTCTATGTTGTTTTACAACATCTGAGGGTTTCCTAATGGCTGGGGGTATCCCAATAGTTGGATGGTTTTTCAATGGACAATTCCAAACAAAAATTAGGATGATAACTACTAGAGGTACCCCCATGACAAAACGGAAACCTCCATCTAGCTATAAATTTATATCATTTTATATCCAGAAATCCAACAGTTAGGATCTGGTACGTTGTTGGAACCCAACTGAAACCACATCAACCACCACGGATTCCCGAACATGGCATCATTATAGATACATATATATATAGGTATATAGGTATACATGCCAAGTAATGTCATGCCATGTGATGTTTTATATAATGTACTATAATGTAATGAAATGCACTGCAAATAATGTAATGTATATATATATAATGTAATTTCAATGATGTAATGTCAATATGAAGTAAATGTCAATACAAAATGGTACCTGCAATCTTCGTGACAATCTAATGTCATGTAGGGTAAGGTAGTGTTTGATGTTGCCAGGAATGATCAACAAAAATTGCCTTTGCTCGTGAATTTTGATCCCCGTGGAACTCTGAGGCCCTATTGGCAACTTTTTGATTCCGTGTACAGCCTAGCACCTGGGACCGCCTGGGACCGCCACGGATGGATTTCACAACTCAAATGCACGTCCTGAAATAGCATCTTTTAGCATTTCAAGTTTACCTTCGCATCTCTTGATTTGCAACTTTTTAATCAAAAAGTGATTCCTCAGAGCCTCAGAATCGCTTTTTGTGGGACTTTCAAGTTCGTAATTCTTCGGATTATTTTTTGTGATTCCCCCCTATTTTCATAGTGATTGCTTCAAAAATCCATGGGTTTCAGACTCCCAGGTGCTGCATGGCCATGGCCGTTGGAGCTATCGCTTGATGGAAGCTCTTTGCGGCGAAGCCATTCCAGTGGCTCGGCTGGTGAGTAGTTTTGTGGCTCCATTTCTCTGTTTTTTTGGTCGCAAAAACCAAAAAATCATATGGTGAAGCCGGGAAAATCAACAATACCCCATTTACCAAATGACATCAAATGACCATTTCAGGGTACAAAGAATCATACCCCGGAAATGGGTCATGATTGGGGGTACCACATTGCAATTTTTCCGGGGAGAGATCTCCATAGCAGCTATGAATAAATGGTACCAATGTACCAGGACTTGGACCCCCTTTTTTTGTGACAAAGACTGGGGAGTCTGTGTATATGCCAATATGTCGGTGCGGCTCCATGTTACCCTCTGGTAATTTAACATAGCTACTGAAAATGACCATAGAAATAGTGGATTTTCCCATTAAAAATGGTGAGTTTCCATAGTTATGTTAGTTTACCAGAGGGTAGTATGATGCTGAATTCCTGTAAGTTGTGTTTGCTTTTTTCATACGCCATTAATTTTTTGCAAAATCCCACTGGTTGATGGAAGAAAAAACGGGGCAAGCGCTTTTTTTCTACAGCCATTCTGGGGAATGTGGCAATAGTATGCCAAACTGACCTGGTACTTGGGGTCAGTAATCAACTTTTCGGAAGGTGGATGAAGCAGCAAGGACTCTTCGATATCCAGAAAAATCAATCCTCATGTTTCATGGGGGATCCTCTACAATTGGGATACATATCTTTTTGGTGCCTTTGGAAGGGGTCCAAACTATGGTCAGATGGCCCCCAATGGCCAAGATATACTCACCAGTTGGTCATGATTAATACCAAACCTCCACATTTCTGGGGTCACTTACTTGAAAAATATCCACATTTTTTTTCTCACTCACAACAAGGAGTGATTTCACCAAGCATCAGGAGTGAAACTAGCATCAACCAACATCAACCAATGGATTGCCTGCCATCGGGGTTGGAAGATTGGGTCGAACTGTTAGTTGGAGGGATGGTATAATCCATGATATCCACATTAAGCCTCATTAAACCCCATTAGACCCCATTAAACCCCATGAAGTCCTATTAACCCCCCTATCCATAAAATCCTATTAAACCCCTAGCCTATCCATAAAATCCTATTAAACCCGGTAGAGGCAGCTCCAGGTGGTGATGGCGGAGGGCTGGGAATTGCCATTTAGCGAACTCATTGACTGGGACCAGCTCACAGTGCAGAGGCGTCCAGCGACGTTTTTTTTTTTCCCCGCTGATTTGTAAGGGAACTTCACCATATCTTTTGTTCGATGTTTAGTTGAACACTTTTTTGTTTTGTTTTGATGTTTTTTTTCCATTTAACGTTACTTGACCAGTTTTTTTTTAAATGTTTTTTTCATGATTTTGACAATATCATTGAGGACATTTCGCAGGTGTTTAATCATTATACGACATTGTTCATTTTTGTTTAATCCAGAATTTTCACAAGATTGGCGGATTTTTAATGGCCTTAATGATTGTCATTATTTTCCAGTGCTTCGTGCTTTTGAACAATTGTTTGTTGTATTTTCCTTGACCAGGGTTTTCATGTTGTTAGCCAGATGTTCAGCTTATTTTTAGATATATATATATATATTTGGTGAGTTTTTGGGCACCAGGCAATTCAGAGAAAGGCACATGTATTCAACCATCGGGCCATGGAAGTTGTTTTCATACGGATTTTCGAACCGTAACAGTCCTGCTTTTTTTCCTTTAAAGTTAAGACAAGGCACTGACAAGAACATGCACCCAATCTTACCCTGTACCCATGTTCCGTTGGTCACGATCACTCTATGAATCATAGCATGTTCGAAGCGATGGTTGTAGCTACTGACAGGGTCTAAACGAGAGAATTGCTGATATGGAGCTACCATCATCTTGCCACCATTCTTCGTTTCAGCCTTCATTTTGCAGGCTGCCTTTCGGAGAAATCCCAACTTTTTTCTAATTTCCACCAGAGGAACTGCTTCGTTTGCACCGTCGCAATTTAACCACAAGTTCAGGATCTAATATAGTTATGATAAGATATGAATAAGTTGTAATAACATATTCTGCGGTTTTTGTGACTGCCACCATTTTTGAGTAGCTTGCCACTTTTAGCACATCGAGGCCTGAATCCATGGGCTTTGATCCTGCGGGCCTTGTGGAGAGTTTGCCACGAGACCCCGCGGTCATCGAAGCCACACGGCAAAACGTGGCTGGGCCGCGAGACCCACCAGACTTTTGGGGGACCTGACGGGGACGTGGGTATACGGTATAGGTCAACATTGAGCCCCAATTTTCATCGGATGTTTTCATGCAAAAGTGAATCCGTTGGTGCCCGTGTAGCTGGAACCCGGCCTCAGACCAGATTGGAACGGAGTTTCCAGTTGTTATCACAACGATGGGGCCAACAGCTTAGTCGAATGGGTCTGTAACATGCTTGAGCCTCATCAAGTCCTAGAAGGAAATCCGCAGTTCTGTGTAGTTGCAACTAGTAGGGGGTCCATCATGATATTATCATCCCCAGCTGTGTAGCAACTAGCAGCAATCTTCCATCATCTTTGGCCAGATTCTCATTCCTGCTGAGTCATGTCTTCGCTCAGTTGCTGCTTGATGGTCACCCAACTAACCTACCCATCAACCCACCAACCCACCAACCCACCAAGCAACCCACCTTTATCGTCCAAGGTGCAAGAGGTCTACCAGAGATTGATGTCCACCCAACAGCAGCGCCTCACTTCCCTCCTGCGCTCCGCTGCCCTTTGGAAGCGCAACTGGCGGGAGCGTGAGCGCAGCACGCTGCGAATGGTGGTGGACCAGACGCGGGAACGCCAGCGGGCTGCGAATGCCGCGAACGGCAAAAAGTGATGCAAGATGGGTTTCAATAAATTGGTTTAAAGGAACATCTACAGGAAACCATGGTTTTTGCCTCCAAAGTGGGGGTTTTCTGTAGATTTCCATTCATCCAATTCTTGGAGGGTTGGGTTGGTTTGGGTGGGTTGGCCGGGAGTCCCAAAATTCATTGGTTGCAGCATTGGTCGTATGCTCACAGGGAATAATGTAAGGGGATTACAGTATATGCCAACCAGGGCAGTAGACCAGTTACTCCAGAATTGGTGCAAGGCAAAACAAGAGAACTATGTTTGGAAGGTAAAGAACCTGGCTTCCAGTTTCCAGCAGATTTTCCTTTGGAGAATCACTCCACTTCCAAGTGCACCCCCGGACCGGGCGATGGGCGCAGAATCGAACTGCACGGAGCGTTCAAGACCTTGATTCCAAGCTTCACCCCTGTGTCTGGGTGCTCAGTGCATGGGAAATGAGACGGAAGTTTGGGGGTGGGTCAAAAAATTGGAGGGAAGAACATCATTTACAACCATGTACTGTATATATTTTGGTGTGCAGGGTGCCAGGGTCTCGACCCATTACCCACACAAGCGATCCCCTTCATCAGCACTTGGCTTTGACCCATGATACAGGGTTTAGCTTCAGCATTTTCTGCATCAAAATGCCAAGTTTGGGGTGACAAACCATGAGGCGGATCTCGGACTTAGACCGAGTAATAGAAACCGATAGAAACCGAGGCACACCAGAGCCTGTCAGAAGGGAGTGTGAGAATTTCTGCAGAGGCTCTTTATGGTACCATTTCAGACTCGAAAAGGGTTCCACACTGAGACAAGACGGAGTCACCCCGGTGACAGAGTCCACACACGCTATACCTTTCGGGCGATGCACTCGGGTGACTGACTCTGTCTTGCCCCACACTCACTACTCAATTTGTTCACTAGTCTTTGCATGTCTACTTTTTCAGGACATTGCTAAGGGCTAGATTTCGAAACAGCCACGTCTCCAACAATCCAACTGTTTTGGTTGATGAATAATGATTAATATTGCTCACGTGATGTCGGCCTCCCCAAATTCTTCTGAAAGCCAGATTTTTTTGGCCGCTAAAGAGCCACATTTTCTGGACAATCTCCGTGCTGGGTGAAGTCTCGGCGAGATCTCAGGCAGATCAATGATTACTACAAGGAGCTGGTGAAAGGCTGGATGCCTCCAAAACGCCGCCGACAGGATATGAATCAACCACAAAGTTAGGATGTTATGCGAAACAATGCGAACCACACATTTGTGAATGGACAAGGACCTTGAACCAATGGACAATCTAGATTTCAACCGAAAACCAAGGAGTTTAAGAACTAAAAATATGGATGTGAGCCGACAAAAAATGGTGACCAGAAAGCAAGGAGACTGCAGATAGTGAGCTTTAACCAGCTGATCCCAACCGTTTCAATGGCAACTGATGGCACGAGGGGATAATAGATACGATTGGGACATCGCTGAAATATACAACAGATCCATGGTCAGCAATTTGGGACCCTGTCTCGAATCATGTTGGGCAGGGGTTTTTACCAACCTGGCTATGAAGCACTGCATGAGATAAACTGAGAGGGGGCTTTCCAACCAGGGCTTTCTGATTCATGGCTGGTTAAATCCCCATTTTAGGTGTCCAACCGGTCCAACCCCTCATTCTTGGTGCAGTCTTGACCTTCGACACTGTGTCACTTCCCTGTCACCTGTCATTTGCAGTGCACCACGTCCAGGCAAAGACGGTGCTCCTGTGTCTCGCGAAGAGTCCTTTGGCGTAGCAAGGGTCGATGGTAGATGGGGCTGATGTTCATGGCTTGATTTTTTCAGCTGATGGGTTTGAAGATTCTGTATGGTCAAACATGAACTTTTGGAAGGGGTACACCATGGAGCTTGAAACCTGAGTCATATAACTCGACTTTTTGAAGGTGTGCACATCTCAGGAGTTGATTCACCCAGTTTTGGAAACTCTCTAAAAACTGGCAAGTCTTGGACACACACACACTTTAGCCTCTGGTAATTCAAGATAGCTTACCCTCTGGTAATTCTGCTGAGAGCTGGAAGATTCTGCTGGATTCATGGGTTCTGCCATAGCATCGTAGTTGTTGCCCGGTGGCCGCGCGGTGGCCCTCCCAAGGTTCTGTGAGTGGATCCTGAAGGGCGGGGGTGTTGCAGCCTCGGTGGCCGGCCCCAGCGATCATGACATACTCGCAGCTACCGTGTGTTATGTATACATACATTATATATATATATATATATGGTCCCGTCCTCCGTCTCCCCACCCCCCCCCCCCCCCCCCCCCCCCCATGGGTTGGGTCCCCAGGTAGCAGCCCCCCTTCCCTTCTATTTGCAAGCTATTGGCAGCATTTCTGAGGTCCAGCTTCGTATTTGCTAGGTCTTTGCAGTATTTCTGACTACCAGCCTCGCATTTACTAGCTACATGCTACCTTTTAGGCGACCTACGTAGCACATATACTCCTTGAAAGTACCTACGTGCTACCTATAGTCATATATACATGTGCTATGTATCTACTGTATCTACTTCCTATTTACTACCTGTGTACTCTCACAACACCACCTGTGTTTAACATATACCGTACCGAACAATCAATCAATGATGCCATGCATACCATACCTATCATACCTATCATACCTATCATACCTATCATACCTATCATATCTATCATACACACCATACATACCATACATATGAAATGTAATTACCACACCTACGATACATACAATAGCAAACATACATGCCATACATACCATACATACCTTACATACGAAATATGCCATACCATCATAGTAACCATACATACCATACAGACCATACATACTGTCATATCAAACATACCATACCCAACAGACTTACATACCATACCTACCATCCATACAATACCAACCACTCATGCCATACATACCATACCTACCAAACATACCATACTTTCCAAACATGCCATACCAGACCGACCATACACACCATACATACCCAACATACCATACCACACCCCCACCACACCACAGGGGGGGGAGGGGGACAGCGCCACACCGCCACCACACCACAGGGGGGGAGGGGGAAGATCTCATATGGGGCCAGTATATGGGACCCATCCCATGGGGGGTGGGGGGAGGGGGGGGGGGGCAGGGCCTGGTGCATATATATATATATATAATAATATATAATAATATATATGTATCATATATGATATTTGATGATTTACCAGTGGATTCCGGGATATATACTGTATATTATATATATAAATATACAATTATATACATACCTTCTCTTTACAAACCCACATTGTTCTGGCTCTGGGGGTTACCCGTTTGGACTGGCAAATGAGTGGTCTTTGCCGTGATCTGCTACCGTACGATACAACAATGGGTCGCTTATCACCTACGGAGAGCATGGTTGTTCCAGCGGATGTTTTTAAATCCGAGGGGGTTGAGAACCAAAATCGTCGGTCCATTGGTACTCCAATGACTTGACCATGCGCCCTCAACAATTGGAGATATCAGCTAGAATGGGGATTTTTCTCGCAAGTATGGGAGAAAGCCGCTAATCTCGCGGTAAAGAATGGGGCAGCCAAGAAGCGACTAGTGGGTGAGAAGTTCATCCTTGGAGTGAATATGGGTGAATCAAGATCTTTTCTTTGTGCGAATGGCCCATGACCCCTAGTTTCCATGACTGCTGAAGTCACTCACTGGCACGGCTGCCAAGGTCTACAAAGCCCTCATGAAAGAGACCAGTGACGTCAGGGTACTCAGGACTTTGGACTGTGAGCTATCAAAGTGTAGGGGTTGTGAAAGTCAAGGTGTGTATGATAACGTTACATAACGTTACTGTTACAATAAATAAGTATGGGTTTATGTTGGATTGTCAGGGCTCTGTGGGACCACAGCATTTAGTTGATTTTCATAAGTAAAAAAATATGATTACTAGACAGACCAAGCCATACAATTCTGTGTGCCCAATTTTGATTAATGTATGCATTTGGTTGCTGATGCTCTCCTGGTCACCAGCCGACCTGCCTTGCTGAAATGGCACAAAGGGGATATCACCCAAGTTCATTGGTGAATCTCACAGAACTTGGAGGATTTCAACTGGAAATCAATGCCACATCTTCAGTCTCTTCACTTCGGGGCCAGAAATTGGGGCTCAGGCCCTAGAAATTGCAATTTGATCCCGGGTTTTCCCCTACATTTGGGGCAAATGTTCTGCTTTCCAGCAGATTTTCCCACCAATCCATGGATTAGATCGCAATCTTTTTATCCCATGATATCACCATTATCCCCTAGATTTTCCTTGGAAAATTCAAGCCATTGATCTTCGAACTGAAGTCCCATAGATGGACCAAGGTCCTTGCCACCAGTGTGAGGGAGGCCTGTGGGGCGGGTTTCACTTGCCGTGGTGGTTTAAATTCCGATAGTTTCTCGAAGATACTAATCATTGATTTACATTTTGTTAAAGAAAGTACTTATGAATTTATGTTACGTTGATTATGTGTGTGTTTTCTATATTTTGGTCATTTGCACAGGGGTGAATCAATGGTGTTTCCGTCTCCGTTCAGATGGCTTCCACTTGGCAAAATAAAGTGGCAGGCAAACATATATACCGGTATAGAGATACACATGTACACATATATATAATCCTCCTTGGAAAAATCTCTATAAAATAGATCACCTGGGGGTACGATTCTATAGAGATGAGGCTGGTAGACCAGTGTTTACTATAGAATGGTACCTGGATTGCGCCCATGGAGTTTACATACCCAAAAGTGACACCAAACTTGAGGCATTGCAAACCCAGTTTTCTATTCTATAGGGGGTCTTTTTCCTAATCACTTGGACTCAGGTTTTCATTTTATAAATACCGGTATAGAGATACACATGTATATATATATACACATGCATACATACACATATGTATATATATATATATAACTATATATAACTATATATTAATTAAATATATTTTATATAATTATATATAATAATTAATCATTATATATATATAATTATATATATAGCACTATAGAACTATACACGTACATGTATTGGTTCGCCCCCCATTTCTAACTGCGACACCCAATCGTTTTTTTTTTCATCACATCGCCGGCAGAAAAGGTCTTTGCTCGCTTCGATCAGAGCGGCGATGGTAAGCTGGACATGAGGGAACTGTGGAGGCTGGAGCCGGGGAATTGTGGTACATCCAATGCTATAAACCATCCCCCATTGGAGCTTCTGAAATTGGATATCTATATATATGCACCAGGCCCTGCCACCCCCCCCTCCCCCCCCCATATGGGATGGGTCCCATATACTGGTCCCATATGAGATCTTCCCCCCCCCCCCCTGTGGTGTGGTGGGGGTGTGGCACTGTCCCCCTCCCCCCCCTGTGGTGTGGTGGATGGGTCCCATATACTGGTCCCATATGAGATCTTCCCTCCCCCCCTGTGGTGTGGTTGGGGGGTGTGGGCACTGTCCCCCTCCCCCGCCTGTGGTGTGGTGGAATTTGGGTCCCATATACTGGTCCCATATGAGATCTTCCCCCTCACCCCCCCTGTGTGTGGTGGGGGTGTGGCAACTGTCCCCTCCCCCCCTGTGGTGTGGTGGGGGTGTGGTATGGTATGTGGGTATGTATGGTTGTGTATGGTCGGTCTGGTATGGCATGTTTGGAAAGTATGGTATGTTTGGTATGTATGGTAGGTATGGTATGTATGGCATGAGTGGTTGGTATTGTATGGATGGTAGGTATGGTATGTAAGTCTGTTGGATATGGTATGTTTGATATGACAGTATGTATGGTCTGTATGGTATGTATGGTTACTATGATGGGTATGGAATATGTCCTATCTAAGGTAGGTATGGTATGTATGGCATGTATGCTTGCTATTGTATGTATGCTATTGTATGTATGGTAGGTGTGGTAATTACATGTCATATGTATGGTATGTATGGTATGTATGATAGATATGATAGGTATGGTATGCATGGCATCATTGACATGTATGGTAGGTACGGTATATGTTCAACAGAGGTAGTGTTGTCAGAGTACACAGGTAGTAAACAAGAAGTAGATACAGTAGATACATAGCACATGTATGTATGACTATAGGTAGCACGTAGGTACTTTGAAGGAGTATGTGTGCTACGTAGGTCGCCTAAAAGGTAGCATATACCTAGTAAATGCGAGGCTGGTAGTCAGAAATGCTGCAAAGACCTAGCAAATACGACGCTGGACCTCAGAAATGCTGCCAATAGCTTGCAAATAGAAGGGAATTGGGGGTACTACCTGGGGACCCAACCCATGGGGGGGGGGGGGTGGAGAGACGGAGGACGGGACCATATATATGTGTATATATATATATATCTCTCTCTCTCATATATATATATATATATATATACATATTTTGCACACACACACACTGTTATTTGAGATGATGTTTACCAATGCCCCCGAAATGGTTGATTACTGGGCTTGGTGTATTGGCTGCTCATTGGTTTACCACATTACGTCTAGTTGGGAAGTTACTCATGCGGCAAACCCAATGATGCCAAGGTTATGGTGGAAACTGGTGAAAGGTGAAAGAGGGATGATTTGGTTGCTGAAGATTTTCCACTTACCATCCACCCAAGCAACATAGACCTTGTCATTTCTCGTTGGAAGACTACCTCTTTACGTATGATTCTCAGGGTCAAAGAGTTGGGGGGGATGGTCCCATGATATTTCCATTAACGCCAATCAAGTCCCATAGAATTCCCAAAATCCCATAGAATCCCCATAAAATTCCCAAAATCCCATAGAATCCCCATAGAATCCCCATAGAACCCCATAAAGTCCCATTATCTCTGCAGCACCCCGCTGTAATTCGGTGATTCCGCAGGGTCTTCAAGAGCCTGGATGGACAGCTGCGACTACAGGACCTCGCCGTTCTCAGTGGCTTGGACTGGTGACCTGAGGTGCTGTCACCAGTACCCCGTAGAGAAAATTGCTGCCCAAAATACGGGGTAAAGATTTTGGGGATGAAAAATATCGTGGCAATTTATCAAAACCCACCAGTTTTTTTTTTTAAACATTGAATTTCAATCTTTTTTTTCAAAAATGATCGTGGAAAAAAATCGAAATTCCTTAAATTCAAGGCCAGCCCTTGAATCGCTTGAATTTAAGGAATTTCCGCGGAAACAAGGAAAAGTTAAAAAAACACTAAAACACGAAAAAATAGTAAAAAATAAACACATAAATAACCAAACAAATAAAAAGAACAACAATTAAAGCATATATAATACTTCAACCATCAATACATATGTGTAGTGTCTATTTTTGTATAAATGGCTTTCAGATTGATGGAATCAATGTTTTTTTGGCGCCGATCCAAACACTCAAAAGTGGCGCCTGCGGCGCGCCTTTTTTAAAGATTCATGGAACTTGTTTTTTCGAGCAGCTGGCAGTGTTTCTGTCTGCAGAAAAAATAAGAAAACAATACATTGAACATATCACTTTGGAAAAATGAAAAAACATAAGACGAAATCGGGGCCGTGTCTCGAAATTAGCTGTGCAAACATTTTTTCAGCCAAGGATCCCCCGCACATTTGATTTGATGTATTTTGCATACTGCATGCAGTTATTTCTGAGGACAGACCTTAAATACAACCCTGCCAGCTTATTTCTAAAGTTAACATTTATCACTTCGGGGTTGACATTGCACTTCTCCCATTTTTGTTGGTAAACTCCAGGCCAAGAGCTGGACACGGGAGGAGACGGTTCGGCCACTGCGGCTGCAAAATCTGGTGCGTTAGCCAAAATCTCGGGGATTTTGGACAAACTTCACGGGGATTTGAGGGGATTCAAGCAACAAAACACGGATATATCGTCCAACAATCAAGGGGATGCCAACCAGCAAATATGAGGATATCACCAACACCAGGATTCACGCCCCAATCGTCCAACCGTCCAGTGCCCCAAGGGCACCTGTATCTGGGGTAAAAATTAGGGAAACTATGAAGCACCTGAGATCAAATCAGGTGTTGACATGTAGTTTTTGTCATCCAGACATGATCCCATCTACCGACCGCCACAACACCGGTTGGCGCCAACTTCTCGTGCGTTCATCCGAACCCCGAAACCATTTGGTTCTTTCCTAAAATCGGTGAGAATTACATAGAATTACCCCAATTTTAAGGGGTCGGGTCGGGTCGACAAGGTTCGGTTCTTGAAACCTGTAGGTTTTCTCGGGCCTCCCAGGTTTCCGTGAAGGAGTTCCTCCACTGGCTGCGAAACAGTGGCTCCGCCCGCGCGACTGCGCTGGCCCGCGTGCGCCCTGGCGCTGAAGGTGGGTAGTTATGAAACTGGAAATATCATGGGGCAATTTTATGTAGGGAAAAGGCTAGAACACTTAGAAATACTATGAAATACTGTATTATATAATATTATATACTATGATAGTACTATGACATATCTACGAAAAGGTAATATATAGATTGAAAACTGGAAACGATGAAGGCACATCATCTATAACATGTTGCAAGAAATCTATAACATCATTTGTAACATCATTTGCAACATCATCCATAACATCTATAACATCTATAACGTGTTTATATTTTCGTATTTTTTGGATCTGCTATACAGGGGCTAAAATGTGTTATAGCTGCTTGCAACTGGGGTTGAATGGGTTGAATGGCTTGAATACCAATGAACCAGTTAACAGGGTGAAAGATCCACTGATGGCTGGTGGCTGTCCTGCAAGATGAATTTGGAGTGCAGACACTTCTGGGGGCCCCAATGTTTGAATCTCCACTTGGAATCAACAGCGACAGGGGAATGGAAGTGAGAACCATGGGAAAAGACAAAGATGGCCTGCAAACGCCAGCAAACAGCAGCTGCAAACGAACGAGATTGAATGAGGATATGGCCATGGTACAGTACACCATTTTCTTGGTCAAACTTGGTTAAACTTGGTCAAACTTGGTCAAGCTTCGGTTTCTTACATTTGTTCATTGGGTATTTTTTTGCCATGAATGGAGGAGCTTCATACACTGTGCTTTGAAACAACCCCCCAGGGTATCCAAGGTTTGCCATGAAACTCGAAAGATTCTTGATCATATATATATATATATACATACATAATATATATATATATATATTAATAATCACTTTTTTTTTGTGCGGCCAGAACCCAGACTGAGTGAAGTGTGAATTTGACCCGGCACTCAGGATCGTGAAAGAGACAGGCCTTGTCTGTTGCTTGGGATGCCAAAATAAACAGTGCTACGGGGCAAAGTGTAAGGTATCCCACTTTCGAGTACCGATAAGTCAAGTACATTTCTAGTATTTTAGAATACATAGAATACATCTAGTGGTACTAATACAACATGTTCTAAATACAAAATGTACGTATTCTTGAAACATCTAAGTCTTTGGATCTGTACCGAATGACTTGACTTAGACTAAGGGATGGATTTTTTCTGGTCTCTCCCCAGTCCACGAATTGGGGGTTTATTGTAGGAGCTGGGCCATAGTCCAGTGAACCCCCAAAAACTTTGCGCCTTTGCCGCCTGGCAATGTCCAGTGCTGGCTATGTGGTGCAAAGTGGTGCAAAGTGGCTTGGATCTTCATGTGCTATGCCTGAATGGTGAAGGATGCAACTTGGAACTCACTGGTTCCACTATGGGGCGGGATGTGTACCTGATGGTTTCAAGGAAACTTCCACCAAAGAAAGGTGGAAGACTCACCCTGCATCATAGTGATTCACGGCTGATGCCCCACAAGACATTGCAAGAGCAAGGCATTGTGGGCGCTGTAACGCTCTGTTGCACTTATGTTCCAACAGATTTGTATGCTGCATGGTGCTACATCAAAGGATTTCCGGTCGATGAGGGAGAGCTTGCACTAGAAGGAGTGACAGAGATTGAAATCGAAAATGGATCCACAACAGGGTGTGAATACATGCACAACCTGCCAAAAAGCCTTAAAAGCTTGAAGTTTGATTGCAACCAAAGCTTGGAAGGAGTGACCCTGCCAACCAGTCTTCAGAGCTCGACATTTGGCCGCAGTTTCAACCAGAGCCTGGAATGGGTGGCCCTGCCAACCAGTCTTCAGAGATTGACATTTTCTTGTGGTTGTGTGGAACGAGCAAGGCTGCCAAGCAGTGTTCAGAGTTTAACATTTGGACAGCTTTTCAACCAGAGCCTCGAACGAGTGACACTGCCAAGCAATCTTCAAAGCTTGACGTTTGGTGCTCATTTCAACCAGAGCTTGCAAGGAGTGATCCTGCCAAGTAGTTTGCAGAACTTGGCATTTGGCGACGGTTTCAACCAGAGCTTGCAAGAAGTGACCTTGCCAAGCAGTCTTCGTAGCTTGACATTTGGCCAATGTTTCAACCAGAGCTTGCAGGGAGTGGCACTGCCAAGCAATCTTCAGAACTTGACATTTGGCAGGAATTTCAACCAAAGCTGGCAAGGAGTGACCCTGCCAAGCAGTCTGCAGAACTTGACATTTGGGTGGGATTTCAACCAGAGCTTGGAAGGAGTGAGCTTGCCAAGCAGTCTTCATAGCTTGACATTTGGTGCCCGTTTCAACCAGAGCTTGCAAGGAGTGATCCTGCCAAGTAGTTTGCAGAACTTGGCATTTGGCGACGGTTTCAACCAGAGCTTGCAAGAAGTGACCCTGCCAAGCAGTCTTCGTAGCTTGACATTTGGCCAATGTTTCAACCAGAGCTTGCAGGGAGTGGCACTGCCAAGCAATCTTCAGAACTTGACATTTGGCAGGAATTTCAACCAAAGCTGGCAAGGAGTGACCCTGCCAAGCAGTCTGCAGAACTTGACATTTGGGTGGAATTTCAACCAGAGCTTGGAAGGAGTGAGCTTGCCAAGCAATCTTCATAGCTTGACATTTGGTGCCCGTTTCAACCAGAGCTTGCAAGGAGTGATCCTGCCAAGCAGTCTGCAGAACTTGACATTTGGCAGGAATTTCAACCAAAGCTGGCAAGGAGTGACCCTGCCAAGCAGTCTGCAGAACTTGACATTTGGCAGGAATTTCAACCAAAGCTGGCAAGGAGTGACCCTGCCAAGCAGTCTGCAGAACTTGACATTTGGCTGTGATTTCAACCAGAGCTTGGAAGGAGTGACCCTGCCAAGCAGTCTGCAGAACTTGACATTTGGCTGTGATTTCAACCAGAGCTTGGAAGGAGTGAGCCTGCCAAGCAGTCTTCATAGCTTGACATTTGGCCACAGTTTCAACCAGAGCTTGCAGGGAGTGGCACTGCCAAGCAGTCTTCAGAACTTGATATTTGGCAATGGTTTCAACCATAGCTTGCAGGGAGTCACCCTTGCAAGTGGCCTTCAGCGTTTGTTGTTAAGCTCCATATTGGTGAGCTGCATGTGATTTGCCGACATAGCATTAAATGATTAGAAAAAGTGCCGTCCCAGTTTCGTAGACACTATACAGGCCATTGGTTTTAAGGTCATTGGTTGTTGGACCCACTTGTGTACATCAGTTTTGGAGTGTGACACCCACTGTACTCTCAATCATGCGGCAACTTGCAGAGGGAACGCGATCCGGGTGACATGTGCAGGAAAGGCGCGAGAAGCTCGAATTCGGAACGTACCCTGGCAGCATTGAAAGTAGGTCTAAGTAGGTACCTAATTGAATTCCCGAGTTTCCCAAATCGGTGTTTGGATGCAAGACAAATGGAGGTTTCTTAATATGGGGGTACCCCCAAATCATCCATTTAAATAGGATTTCCATTAACCATCCAGCTATTGGGGGTACCGCCATTAGGAAAACCCCAGCCATCATGGAGATCCCCAGCATCCCAAGTTGGATGACCTGGTCGCGCAGGACCTGCAGGATGCCCCGATCCGTTTTTTTGTTCGGCTCAAATCTTTGATTTTGAGGTGAGGTTCGGTTCGACTTTGGCGAGTTTTTCCATGTTTTTCCAAAAAACCTTGAAAACTTCTTTTTCGAATGGAGTTCTGAACGATCCACTCCCACCAATTACTGTGTATATACACCCTGGGTTGATCAAACAATTTAGGGTGAAACCATTTTTTTCTAGTTGGCGATTTCAAGCATTTCCTATATTTTTCCTATATTTTCAACTACAAATATGTGGGATGTGATCCCGAATGACGAGCATCTCCTTTGGATGGCTTGAAACCACTGACCTTCGCCATGGACGGCGGGTGGTGCATCCTGGAGGTGGTGGGGCTCCATGGCGGCCCGTTGACCCTGCGGGTAAAGCCGCAGATGGTGGGCCGAGAGGTGAGGCAAATGCTGGTGGAACAGCTGGGGTGCAAGAAAGGTGCCATGACCAGGGCGGTCATTTCTGGTGCGACCTGGATGGAGGGCCCTAGAGGCCCTAGATTTCAGGTGAAATATAGGAAATCATCCACATGAATGTATGTTTGTTTGTGATGGTGGAATATGATAATGGCCAGATAAAGTGTTGAAAATTGCCAACTCTCTTTGCTTGATATCAAGAGTAGCTGAAGGCTGGGAATGGAAGGAAAGGGTACTTGGAGCATCAGTCCACTTGGTAAAGGTTAGTATGCGGGGTTGTAAGCTACTACTATACGTACCACTTACAAGTATATATGTGAGAGAGACATGGTCGGTTGATGGCTGGTGGATTTTACCCAGCAGTTGGGATAAAGTCTTTTGCGCTCTTCTTGGGTTGGTGGTAGATTTGTGGCTTGGTGGTGTTGAGCACGAAGAATGCGGGAGAATTAAACCTGGCAATTGGGCTTCTTTTTTTGGGGGGGTTGGTGACGATGGAATTTTATGAATCTACTAGATACTAGGCTTCGTGGCGATTGTGGATCATCCTGGATTCCCCCAATTCTAAATATTGCTCTGCTCACTTGGTTCTCGAAAACTGCTGAGGTGCCAAGCTGCTGTTGATTCACAAGGATCTTCGGCTTTCCCTCACAGAGACCTTGTTGCAACAAGAGCTCCTGACCAACCATGATGCCGAGTCGCCGACCGCATCGTTGTCGTGCATTTGGCTGCCCTGCAGCTTGCATGCTGCCTGGCGTGCCATTCAAGGCGCATCTGGTGAGGACTATCCGCTGGACGGGGTCACGGGGGTGAAAGGCATCAAGCAGCTGCAGAGAATGCAGAATCTTCCTGAAAGCCTCCAGAGCTTGACCTTTGGTCGTGAGTTTAATCAGAGCCTGGAGCAGGCCACGCTGCCCAGAGGTCTACAAAGTTTAGCCTTTGGGGATCAGTTCAATCAGCGTTTGGAGCGGGTGATTTTTCCAGACTCGTTGCAAAGCCTGACGTTCGGGCATGGCTTCAATCAAAGCTTGCAGCAGGTGGTGTTTCCTGATGGCCTGAAATGCTTGACCTTTGGGGATGGCTTTAACCAGAGCCTTCAGGGGGTTCCCTTCCCCAGGAACCTGGAAAGCTTGTGGCTGGGTCGGAGGTTCAACCAGACCCTGGAGCGGGTCGGGCTGCCAAAAGACCTCAAGAGCCTGCGATTTGGCGATGGATTCAACTTGAGCCTCGAGCATGTGACTCTTCCAGGCGACCTGGAGGTCTTGACCTTTGGCGAACAGTTCAACCAGAGCTTGGAGCGTGTCAAACTTCCGGGCAAGCTTGAAAGCCTGGTTTTGGGTGGTCGCTTCAACCGCAGCTTGGAGCATGTATTGCTGCCAAGCAGTCTTCAGCTGTTGACCTTGGGTGCTGATTTTAACCAGTGCTTGGATTCAACTACTTTGCCCATCACTCTTCGAAGCCTGACTTTTGGGCGTGAGTTCAATCAGCCACTGGACGGCGTCACTTTTCCAGATCTTGAGATTTTGACATTTGGCTTTGAATTTAACCAAAGCCTGGAAAATGTGAACCTCCCTGGCACCCTCTCGAGCCTGACCCTGGGATATCGCTTTAATCACAGCCTGGAGAAACTGGACTTGCCCTGCAAACTGGAGAGCTTGACACTGGGATGTGAATTTAGCTACACTTTGGAAAATGTGACTCTGCCTAGTCTTCGACAGTTAGTTCTGGGCAGCCGTTTCAATCAGAGCGCCAACCCCTTGACCTTGCCTCCGAGTCTGCAAAGCTTGACCTTTGGCGATGGGTTCAACCAGTGTTGGGAGCAGGTAACACTGCCAAGTACCATTCAACACCTGACTTTTGGCAATCATTTCAATCACAGCTTGACTCATGCCACTTTGCCAGGTAGTCTGAATAGCTTGACATTTGGACACTGGTTTAATCAATGTTTGGAACATGTGGTGTTCCCGAGCAGTCTTGAAAGCTTGACTTTTGGGTCTGAATTCAATCAAAGCTTGGAGTGTGTGACCCTGCCCAGCAATCTCCGAAACTTGACATTTGGAAGTAGGTTCAATCAGAGTCTCGACTCCGTGACTCTGCCTGCCAGCCTTCAAAGCTTGACCTTTGGATATAGGTTTAATCAGAACTTAGAACACATAGCCTTTCCAGATAGTCTCGAGTCCTTGATCTTTGGTCAGAATTTTAACCAGAAGCTGGAGCGCGTGATTTGGCCAGGTGCTCTTCGAAGCTTAATCTTCCATCAGAATTTCAACCAGAAATTGGAGACTGTGACTCTTCCTTCCAGTCTTGACACCTTCAGTTGTCAAGGAATCTCTGTGAGTTGCAGGTGACAGCTGAATGCTCAGCTGACCATTGATTGAGCGCGGCAAAAATGGGAGGTTGGGGCGGTCCATGTGTTGAGATGGGAGTGGGCAGTTGTTACATCGGTGAGTGGCCATGATTGGCCATTTGCGGGATGCTGCTGAAAAAACGCCAGTTTGAGAGCAAACTTTGGGACTGAAACACGGGGAACCCAAAACATGTGGCAGTAATTTTTTTCGTGATCTAAGGGCAGCTTTCCCAACATAGCTTTCAGGTTGGTGAATTCCTATGTTTTTCCAGAGATATACATTCCATTTTTTGAGGAACAACAATTTCATGTGAGCAAACCAGAAGCCCTTCCATCAAATGCTTGTAGTGGAATGGGTCTGCAGCATTATAGGAGGCATCAAGAATCTCACTCATTGGCTCTATTGTTATGGCTCGTTTTCAGACATCAGCATCCTCATGATCTCAGATATTATATATATATCCACATTTTATATCATTTTATCAGCGAACATGTTCCAAAGAATTCCAACATTTTTTTCCTAATGTTTCCCAATCCGCCCCTATGATTCCCCCAGAATTTTCCAATGTTTTCCCCAATCTTTTGATATTTTCCCCAGATCTCAATTTTTGCAGTTTCCAGATATTTTCTCCAGATGGTTCCCCGAATCCCCAGAAAAAACCATCTCCCAATGTTTCTCCTAGGCCTTTCGGCGCTACGATGCCACTGGGGACGGGGTGTTGGACGTGGCTGAGCTGGCCAGCGCGCTGAAGGCGCGACCCGAAAGCCATGGTGATGTAATGATGATCAAACTTGGATTGGGTGATCAATGATGATTTCATTGTGTTTAATGGTGATTAATGGTGTTTATTGGTGATTTATGAGGATTCTATGGCATGTGGTGATTACACTACATGGATGTTTTTTGGCACTTATCATCTGGCAATTTCATATAGCTATGGAAAATCACACTTTTGATTGGGTAAACCATGGTAGACCATCTATACACATAGTCCATTTGATATGGCTATGTGGAATTATCCGGGGGTATTTCATTTATGTAAGTTAACCGGCAACAATGGTCAATAATGATGAACAATGGTTATTAGTTATTAATAACTTATTAATTGCTATTAATGGAAATACTGGATCAGCCACAATAATGGTGAACACTGTCTAATAGTGATCAATGGAATTTACTTGGCAACAATTGGGATAGTAATTGGAAATATGGCCATAGTTATAAGGCTTATATGAGTACATCCCAATCCCAAGTGAAATTACCATGGTTCTTAATGGTAGGACCTAGAGCAAAATCCAAGCCAGGGGGTCTTTTGTGACCCTGGAACCAGGCTATTTGGAGAAAATCATATTCAAAAAAGGAGGATATTTGTTGGATTTTTGCCTGTTTAACACATCAGGTTTATCTCTTTTGGGTCATGTGTCTTCAGACTAGTTGGTTACTCAATAGGGTGGTGAATAATGGTGTTTAACGGAAATTGATAAATGATTAAATGATGGTTGATTGATTTGTTCGGTTTTTTTTTAACTACCCTTCATGTGTCAATCCTTGAGCTGGGAATCCCGATTCCTAGAAAAACCATGATGGATTTCACCCAGGTTCTGGGTAGCTTTTCTTCGGATGAGATCAAGCGTGTGAGTGCCTGGGCTGAGGTTTTTGGAGGTCATACAGTGGATGGTTGCAAAATCCTGCACCACCAAAAGGATGGTTGAAACTTGAAACCATAGAACTAATGGGATAAATCGGATAAACCCTCTATCAACTGGTGCAGGATTTCGCAACCATCCGCAGATGCTTTCGGACAAAGCCAAAGCAAGAAATGGGGATGGAAAGATCCGAGACCCACAGATGGTGGGAATTGGTTCCCACGTTGGGGTCAGGTCATGGGGTACCCGTCCCAAAAGGGAGCAAGATGCTTTTTGTGCATCAGGATCTTGTAGATTTTGAACAATACCCATCATGAAAACCCAATTAAAAAAAGGACTAACCCCCAAAAGTTGAGATTGAACAGTACCACTGGGGTGTTTCCCCGGGGGCACGGAACCAACTATACCCATGAGGACAATCATGACCAACAAATATAACCAACACTACAAAGCTGAAATCTGTTTACAGGGCCCTGTTCCAGGCCAGAGCCACGGCCCTGGGACTGGCAACGGCAAGTGGTTAAACTTTTTAGAGGATGATTTCCACCAGACTTTTTGGATGACATGAAAAAAATGAAGGAATCTCTTCTTCCCCAATATTGGGAATACCACCAAACATTATTTTTTTACTTAGTACTGGATCACACTGTTCATTTAGGGGAAATTGATCTTAAAACCGTTTCTGCAACTTTGAATGATGTATTTGAACTACGTGTATATATATATACATAATATGGTTTAACATGTATACATATTATACATACATATCATATTATACATACATATTATACATATACATACATATTGTACATACATATTATACATACATATTATACATATATATATATATATTATACATACATATTATACATACATATTATACATACATATTATATATACATATTATATATACATATTATATATACATATTATATATACATATTATATATACATATTACATATACATATTATATATACATATTATATATACATATTATATATACATATTATATATACATATTATATATACATTATATATATACACATATTATACATACATATTATGTATACATATTATATATATACATATTATATATATACATATTATATATATATACATATTATATATACATATTATATATACATATTATATATACATACAGTCACCGACAGAATTATGGAAAAAAAAAACGTTTCAATTTACAGGCGCCGCCTGTCTATGATAGAAAAGTTACGAACCTTTTTTTTTCCATAATTATTTTTTCCATAATTATCTTTTTCCATAATTCTGTCGGTGACTGTATGTTCATCGATTCGCAATTTGAATGCATTTTAAGGGGGAATATTGAATTATAGAAAATATGTGTCTAAAGATCTGGTATATGCCCCTAAATTTTCCATTGATATACATAATATCATGTGATGTTCGCAATTTGAATGCATTTTAAGGGGGAATATTGAATTATAGAAAATATGTGTCTACATATGCGGGATGTTTCCTTTTGCCAACAGGTGGAGCCCCAAACATTAATTATGGAAAAAATAATTATGGAAAAAATAATTATGGAAAAACCGGTCAATCTGCCCTAGCCCCCTGATTTCACAGGAAAAATCAATTATGGAAATAATGGCCACCTCCAAGAATTATGGAAAAAAAAAGGTTCGGATCACTTCCGGGATATTTTGAACCCTTATGGGGAAAAACCTAATTATGGAAAAATCGGACGCAGGCGCCGCCTGTCTAAGTTGAACGTTTTTTTTTCTCCCATAATTCTGTCGGTGACCATATTATATATACATATTATATATACATATTATATATACATATTATATATACATATTATATATACATATTATATATACATATTATACATACATATTATATATACACATATTATATATACATATTATATATACATATTATACATACATATTATATATACATATTATATACATATACACATTTCATTATATATACATATTATATATACACATTATATATATATATGTTATATACATATTATATATACATATTATATATACATAATTATATATACATTAAAAAATATATACCTATTATATTCCCTATTATCTCTCCCCTCTTATTATAATATCCTCTCCCCTATTCTCTCTATCTCACCCCTTCTCTATATCTCCCTCTCCCTCTACCTTTATCTCTCCCTATTCACTATCTCCCTCGTATCGTCTCCCTCTTCTCTCCCCTCTTATCCATATACATATTATATCTCCCTCTTCTCTCTCCCCTCCTTTCTCTCTCCCTCTGTCTCTCCATCTATCCATTTATCTCTCCCTCTTATATATACATATGAATATATACATATTATATATCCATATTATATATACATATTACTATACATATTATATAACATTTATATATACTATATAATATACAATATTATATTATACATATTATAATATACAATATTATATATACATATTATATATACATATTATATATACATATTATATATACATATTATACATACATATTATATATACATATTATATATACATATTATACATACATATTATATATACATATTATATATACATATTATATATACATATTATCTATACATATTATATATGTATATATATACATATTATATATACATATTATATATACATATTATATATACATATTGTATATACATATTATATATACATATTATGTATACATATTATATATACATATTATATATACATATTATATATATATTATATACATATTATATATATTATATATACATATAATATATATATATTATATACATATTATATATACATATTATATATACATATTATATACATATTATATATACATATTATATATATATATTTATACACATACATACATGATATGGGACTTGAAGTCTCAACGTTCAAACGCTCGCACCTCGGCTGCTGCGGCCCGACATCAGGTACTGATCTGGATCGGAGCGGCGATGGCACGGTCTCCTTTGAGGAGATTCTGGGCTCAAATCCTTTGGGACCACGAGATGGCCACCAAAACGTTTAAGAAACAATAAACCATCATCCAAAACTACTGGTTAATATTGATTACTAATGGTTAATGATAATGGTTAATAATATATAATGACTAATAATAATGGTTAATAATAATGGTTAATAATAATGGTTAATAATAATGGTTCATAATAATGGTTGATGATTGGAATAATGTGGGTAAAACAATGCCATTGGCACCAGCCATGACTGGGAATGGTACGTTCATCCCACATAAAAATGGTGACGACTGGGGGATGGTTTATTATTGTTTTACCCACATTAAACTACATTGGGAACATGTTATAAATTTATGAGAAATGAGATTATAGCAGGTTTCCCTTTTTTTGAGCAGTGTTCAAAAGCCCGCAACGTCATTTCGTGCTAGAGGTCAGCTAAGAACGGGCCCAGAATGGGGGATGATGATCTCCATTTTTTGTTGGAGTGTGACCCACTGTAGTCATCGACCCTACGAACATTTCTCTACTCCAAGTATCAAAGCTGCCAAGCTCATGATGAATTCTCTTTGTGCGGGACTTTCTGTTTTGTTTCAACCCCTGGATATCCAGGGGCGGAACATGGATGCAACGGAAGATCCATGTGACACGAGTCCCCAATGGGGGGAAACCCGGTGTCTGAGGTTCTCGACGTGGATCAAGTGTGGCAAGGGCGATGGTTCTGTCTTGAAAGCCAAATCCATCCTGGCACCATCTGATCCTGGGCTCAGCTGAGGGAGACCGGAGATTGCTTCGCTTGCTGTCTAAGATCCGGGATATCCCCCCAAAATCCAGTGGAGTTTGAAACACCACTTTCCGAATCAAATATTGCAATTTTGGGGTATCTGTATATCCAAGTATTGGACAAACACGGGTAGCTTTGACACCTCTCCACCCTGCGCACTTGATGGTGCCAACTCAATGGCTTTTCCACTTTCGAGGGTCACGCACAATGTGTTGCCCCGCAGTTTCAAGTTGGTTTATAAACCCCATTAGATGAATGATATGTGTGTGTGTATATATATATATATGAATATGTATATGTCTATCTACCATAGGTCCTGGTTATATTCTTTACAAGCCAACCTTAGTCAACGAACTACGTCGGACACCACGAACTGCAGAGAGGTTGCTCTCCCAATTCCACCCAGGACGGCGACGGGATGGAAGCTGTGTTTTACAACTTCTGCGGCCCCGGTCAAGCGCCTTGGGCGAGACGAAGATCCACCTTGGGGTCTTTGCCAAAGTTCTGGCTACGTTTTTTTGTTTACATATGGGGGGTTTCCTAAAATGGGGGTACACCCAATAGCTGGATGGTTTCCTAAATGGAAAATCCATCTACAAATGGATGATGGATGATTTGGGGGGTCCCCCCATTTTAGGAAACTCCCATATACCGGAGTCTTGCATGAGATCATATGTGTCATCCCCACTTCTTGGGCTTTGAAAGCCAATGAGCACACGAATATATGCATGATTATGCATGATTATGCATACACAGGTCCCATGAATGGTTTGTATTGGTATAAACCTGCTCCCTGGGAATGCAACGGTTTTTAGGACACACACAAAATGCCAAACTGCAGATTTGTTGGAGACGTGATGGCAGTTTCTTGGGTTTGACACCTCCCATTGGTCACCAAAGGTAGCGGCTATAGGTAGCTGAGTGATGCATTGAATTCCCTTCTTCCTTTCCTGTTCTTAGGCCCTTCTACCTTTCGTCCACTCCATGGAAAAAACATCCTGATTCCACTGTCCACACCATCTCCAGCATGGTTCTTGCCATTGCTCATGGGCCCTTTAATGTGCATGACATCAATGGAAGGTCGACGTCTTTGGTCTGTAGGGGGAGGACACCCAGGTTTGTCCAGAAATGGGACCCAGAAATGGCAATTTCAATGACCAAAATGATCATCAATTACTACACTTTGAGGGTTTACTCATTTACTCCTAAATTTTTGGACCTCATTCCTGTGCAAGGATCACGGGTGACCGACCCCGAAGACGCCAGGCAATGGAAATGGACAAAAAAATGTCAGAGGATTTTCCCATTTTGTCTCATCAAAAAGGCTGGAATTTCCCATGGATTTCCCATTGCCAAGCTACAGCAGACCAAGATCCCCCATGGATTTCCCTAAGGCTGACATGGATGGCTCGAACTTTCGAAGGCTGTGCAAGGATCCTTGAACTGTGGGATGTTGAGCTCAGCTGTATCAAGAAGCCTCCGACTGTCACTGACCTCGATCCAATAAGATCGATCGACGGTGATTAAAGCAGGAAATTTATGGAGTTTCACCAAAACGAAGATTTTTGAACAACAACACAGCTTCAATTGGCAGCAAAGCCGCGATTCCTGAGGTTATCCGATTCACTTCCGCACAGCAACCTGACGATTTCGAGCTAAATACTCAAGAATCCAACTTTAGGGACAAAGACTCTCTCTCCAACAGACAGATTGGCCGGTCAGTTGAGCTTTTTGGTGTGTGAGCATTCTAGGGCTCCCAACGTTTGATCCACGCCCACTTTTCACTGAATGATATGGGTATAGGTCGAGACCCTGCCTGGAAAGGGAACTTGGTTGATAGGCATTATGGGTAGTAATCCCCAATAAGCCAGGTGGAATAACCTCCATAATGAACAATCAACATGGGATGTTTCATGGCTCACTTATATTGCTGCAGTGCGACATTACTAAAATTTGCCAAGAAGAAATGTGTCTCACATGGTCTCACAATTCATACCATCTGGTTATTTGTTACAGTTCGCCATGGAAAATCACCATGCTACTCATAGGTAAACCGGTAAACATCGGTAAACCGTGCTATTTCAATAGGCCATCTATACCATGGCTATGTTAGTCATAACCAGATGGTAACTTCATTCTCCAATCCACCACAAAACCTGGTGAACTGATTCAGGACTGTGACATCTTGGGCACTTCGATTGACGGGGTAACAGCATCTCGGTGCAGCTGGATCCGACAGACATTTGGTATATCATGGTGTACAGTATATATATATATATATGTATATCTTACATCAAGAAACTGACATTAATAATTATACACATATACAACAGATATGATATGCATGTATATATATGTATACATATACGTATACACACACATGTGTGTATATATATACATATATATACATACATACGTACGTACATACGTCCATACGTACAGACATTCGTTCGTTCGTCCGTTCATTCATTCATCCATTCATTTATTCATTCATTCATTCATTCATTCATTCATTCATATATATATATACATACACACCACATATCATATATCACACATGTTCATAGAAACACCAACGTCCGTGGCCCCGTCCTAAGACCCCTGCGCCCATGGTGAAATGGGATCAAGCAGGTCGAAAACTTACAAACTGAGGTATTTGCTTATTTCAATTGGAAGATATTCTCATTATATATATATACATACACATATTCCGAAAAAATCTGGAAGACTGAGGGCGAACCTTCACCAACTTTCAATGCAAAGAACATGCGTTTCCGAATTACCCAAGATCTGCGTGTTTCCGGAAAAGTCGAGAACACGTCGTGGAGAATTTTTCAGAAAATCTGTCAAAAGCCGACCCCTGAAGGTTGGCCACCGCCAATTGGACTTGGGGGTACCACAGTTTTGGACAAAACCATGTCATATTGTTGGTGATGCATATATATATACAACACATATAGACACATATATATATACATATCCCTATATCCCATTAAACACATCTATCTCTCTCTTCTCTATCTATACATACGTATATATATATACATATACATATATATGTGCAATATACAGATTATCCAAACCACTATATTCATTGGTTACATAAATCACCATGTTTGATGGTCAAGCAACCATTCCTCACCAGTTTTGATATTCACATGCCATAATGCCATAATACCCAAATTTTGTTGGTTCAATCCTCATATTTTCTTTTCAACCCACAATCTGATCCCATGGTGACCAGGTGGATCTCATCTTTTCAGACACTCGGGTCAAGGACCAACCTCTGTTGCTGTCGTTGTTGTAATGGGATAGCTGTCATTTTTCGAATGGGAAGCACTGGGAACCAGTTGTATTCTTTTTATGATTTTGGTTCTAAAGAGCTGCTGAAAATTTGGACTCAAAGAGAGTTTGTCTGATCATTCTGAGATCATTTTGAGATCTCTTTCAGAGTGAAGTGACTTCAACCTGGTGCAGTGGTGCAGGTCCGGCTGGCATTTTTTCAAAAAAAAACTGTTTTCGAACGCGGTGTGGAATTCGTGACCCCAATATTAGATAGAGCGTGGTGCTAGACATGTCAAACTTTTGAGCCCACGAGCACCCCAGAGCCCTAGATAGTGGGATCTCATTCCAATTTTTTTGATAGCTAAGAAACAAAGACCGATACATTTGCGTTGTTTTGCATTTCCAGCCCTGTTGACTTGTTGCAGAAACAAACGACTATAATCTATAAGATTGGGATTTGAGCAATGGACATGGGCATAAGGTCAACAAGAGACCTGCAAACAACGAGCAAAGATAGGAATACAACCAGCATATCAGCAGGCACAAACGACTTACTAAACCAATCAAGTGTTGAAATGTACAGATTTCTTGCGCTCATTAGGAGGAAAACTGGTAGAAAATAAAGTGACGTTTTTTTTTTTTTGAGGGGCGCGTCCATGACTCCGACGCTGAACTTGGGCCAATTTCTGCCCATGGCCCATGCAGCAAGCAGCCAGCAGCCAGGATCATTCCTCGCGGAACATCGACTTCCTTCAGTTCGAGTTTGCGTTGGGGAGCCTGGGGCCATTCTGAACGTTTTTTTTTGGTGAGTTTCTATAGGAAACCATCCACTTGTTAAAGATATTTATATAATGGTTTTTCTTTGGTAAACATGTATTTATTGTTCCTTTTCTCCTCTGAAAGATCAATGTTCGGAAACCAGACTCTTTTCCCACGGCTTACCCTGATGAAATCGATGGATCCATGGAATTTGTCCACACTGGGAAACATCCTCGGCTTGTATGTACATGTATATATATATACATACACCGTATATGTAAACACACTTGTGTGAAAACACGATGTGAAAACATTGTATATATATACACTATATATATATGCACATTGTGTATGTACATATATATATAGAACGGGCTAGCGCCCGGGTGCCGCCGACCCCCCATTCTGGGGGGTTGGGGCGGAGGTGGTCGGTGCGTTGCATTTGGTTGATGATGGTGATGATGATGAAGATGACGAGGATGATGAGTGTGATGATCATGGTGATGAAGAGGAGGATGATGATTATGATGATTATGTGCAAGAACCAATTTTATGTGAGGACGGCCGTGTCAGCAAAGGGACGCGGAAGCATGCCCACGCGTGCCCGGTGTGTCAAACTGTTGTGTGGTCATCACGCTCGTGCGGGCAGATTAAAGGCAAGCATGACACGCCTGCTGGGAAACCATGCAAGACGAGGAAATGGCACGTGCCACAAGAAAAGGACGAAAAGAAACGGTGACTCAAATGGCCCATCGTGGCCAATCGCTGGAATTTGTTGCATTGAAGGGGCTGTGGGCCTGGCTGCTGCTGCACGTAACGCTTGTTGAAGGGGTTGTGGCCCTGGCTGCTGCTGGACGTACGGCTTGCCTGCGGGGCCCTGCAAAGGGTTTGGAGGGTTTAAGGCGTTTAAGGCCGGGCAAACGGCAGCCTTGAACACCCTTAAAAACAGTTGGACGTGGCCTGTCCTGGCTACGGCTGGGAGGGTTTAGAGGGTTTAGAGGGTTTAGAAGCTTTAAGGGCGGGCAAACGGTGGGCTTGAAGACCCTGAAAAACAGGTGGGCTACCAACCGCTGGAAATTGTTGAATTGAAGAGGGTGGTGGCCCTGGCTGCTGCTGGACGTAAGGCTTGCCTGCGGGGCCCTGCAAAGGGTTTGGAGCGTTTAAGGGGTTTAAGGGCGGGCAAACGGCAGCCTTGAACACCCTTAAAAACAGTTGGACCTGGCCTGTCCTGGCTACGGCTGGGAGGGTTTAGAGGGTTTAGAAGCTTTAAGGGCGAGCAAACGGTAGGCTTGAAGACCCTGAAAAACAGGTGGGCTACCAACCGCTGGAATTTGTTGAATTGAAGGGGGTGGTGGCCCTGGCTGCTGCTGGACGTAAGGCTTGCCTGCGGGGCCCTGCAAAGGGTTTGGAGCGTTTAAGGGGTTTAAGGCCGGGCAAACGGCAGCCTTGAACACCCTTAAAAAAAGTTGGACATGGCCTGTCCTGGCTGCGGCTGGGAGGGTGTAGAAAGTTTAGAAGCTTTAAGGGCGAGCAAGCGGTAGGCTTGAAGACCCTGAAAAACAGGTAGGCTACCAACCTCTGGAATTTGTTGAATTGAAGGGGTTGGGGCCCTGGCTGCTGGACGTACGGCCTGCCTGCGGGGCCCTGCAAAGTGTTTGGAGCGTTTAAGGGGTTTAAGGCCAAGCAAACGGCAGCCTTGAACACCCTTAAAAACAGTTGGACGTGGCCTGCCCTGGCTGCGGCTGGGAGGGTTTAGAGGGTTTAGAAGCTTTAAGGGCGGGCAAACGGTAGCCTTGGGCGTGCCAACCGCTGGAATTTGTTGAATTGAAGGGGCTGTGGCCCTGGCTGCTGCTGGACGTAAGGCTTGCCTGCGGGGCCCTGCAAAGGGTTTGGAGGGTTTAAGGGGTTTAAGGCCGGGCAAACGGCAGCCTTGAACACCCTTAAAAACAGTTGGACGTGGTCTGTCCTGGCTACGGCTGGGAGGGTTTAGAGGGTTTAGAACCTTTAAGGGCGGGCAAACGGTAGGCTTGAAGACCCTGAAAAACAGGTGGGCTACCAACCGCTGGAATTTGTTGAATTGAAGGGGGTGGTGGCCCTGGCTGCTGCTGGACGTAAGGCTTGCCTGCGGGGCCCTGCAAAGTGTTTGGAGCGTTTAAGGGGTTTAAGGCCGGGCAAACGGCAGCCTTGAACACCCTCAAAAACAGTTGGACCTGGAGTGTCCTGGCTGCGGCTGGAGGGTTTAGAGGGTTTAGAAGCTTTAAGGGCGGGCAAACGGTAGGCTTGAAGACCCTGAAAAACAGGTGGGCTACCAACCGCTGGAATTTGTTGAATTGAAGAATTGAAGGGGGTGGTGGCATGCTGGAGGTAAGGCTTGCCTGCGGGGCCCTGCAAAGTGTTTGGAGCGTTTAAGGGGTTTAAGGCCGGGCAAACGGCAGCCTTGAACACCCTTAAAAACAGTTGGACCTGGCCTGTCCTGGCTGCGGCTGGAGGGTTTAGAGGGTTTAGAAGCTTTAAGGGCGAGCAAACGGTAGGCTTGAAGACCCTGAAAAACAGGTGGGCTACCAACCGCTGGAATTTGTTGAATTGAAGGGGCTGTGGCCCTGGCTGCTGCTGGACGTAAGGCTTGCCTTGTTGAATTGAAGGGGCTGTGGCCCTGGCTGCTGCTGGACGTAAGGCTTGCCTGTGGCCAAAGTTGCACACCCAAGGTGGTCCCAGGCGCCGCCCCGGCCTGTCTAAGGCTAAGGCCGGGGTCGGCGGATATATATATATATATTACGAATTTACATACATATCATATATAGACATACACATGTATGTGTGTGTTTTATTTTTATATATATATAATGCAAATGACTAGCATGTGTCTATGGTTTATAGAATATACACATACACGTGTAATACAGCGTATAGCATAGATATGTTTTCATGCGCGTTTCAGGCATACACAAAATCACGGCTTTTGTAAGTGTCGTGAGGGTTGTGCATGAGCAGTAGCGCTGACAATAAGCACAAGCGTCTGATATATATATACATACATACATATGTATATATGTTCTTATATTCTTATACACACTGTGTACACATATGAACCTATATATACATAATTAAGTATATATATATAGATCAATCTGTATTACATATGATACCCTGAAAGTCAATTGACTCATTTTACGCATCATATGAGTGATGCTCCACAATTCAGAAGCGTCATTGGCATTTACCGGGATGTAATTATATATATATATTCATGTATATATATAATTATATGTATATAAATATATATACATACACTGTATGTATGTATGTATATACATATTTATGTATATATATATATGTATATTTATGTATATATATACATTTATGGAAGTATATATATAATTATATATATCTATTGCATATATATATATATATATCTATTGTATATATATATGTATATGTATATATGTATATATATGTACCTATATATATATATGCAGCAACCATCAAAAGAATAAAACATGTAGTTTATCAATATTTTGTGGGATAGATTGCTATCTTTTCTTTTGGGTTGCTAGGTATATATACACACATGTTTAGATAGACTTAGATAGACTTAGATAGACTTAGATACAGAGATAGATGGATGGATGGATGGATGGATAGATAGATAGATAGATAGATAGATACTGTAGATAGATTTCTATGACGTCCAAGGCTGGAACTATTGTCAGAGAAGAAGGGCGTCACCCTTCGGCAGCTGCGCACGCAGGCGTGGTGTCGGGAGGGCTTATCCATCCGCGAAAATAACCCACCAAATGGCATCATCCACAAAAAATGGGTAGAACCTACCCAAAAAGTCGGGCATTACCTTCAGAAATGCGTTGAAAGACTTAAAACACTGCGGTAAACATGAGGTAAACATCAGGTAAAACCATGTGAATTGGGGGTTGAATGCATGGGTATCACCTGCAGAAAGACTGGGGAATCGAATTGGGGACTTGAATTCCTGTTTCTTTTGAACGGCGATCTGAAATCCAGGATTTCTTGACTTGATAGAACCGGATGCAACGAGCAAAATGTTCTATGGGACTGTAAGCAGCAGACATGCCGGCGGTACGACCAAGAAAATTAGGGCTGGATAAAATCAAAGATCCTCAAAACTGGGTGAGCCTCCAGAACCGATTCTGAGTTATGTTGGGTATCACCAGGGATGCAGGGTTTCGTCTCACAGCCGGCTATGGGGACCTGAATTGTGAAGTTAGGACACAACCGGCGGGTCTCGCACACTGTATGAACAGTACAATTTTTAAAAACACCTTTTGTGGCACCTCAACCTTGACCTCATACCGATGACTCTGAAAATAGGGTTTGTATGAGAATAGGGTACGCCAAGATTTCAGGTTCATCATCTTATTGCCTATTACAATACCAGTAACCATTTGGACATATACCCCATTTTCAGACACACCCATGTACATATATATATATATGTAATGTATTGTAATGTATATCTGTAATATACATATATATATATATATGCAGATCCGGATTTCCGCATCTATCATGTAGCCCGTGAGTCATTCTGGACAAACACATACTGCGCAGTACCTGCATTTTAGCTGATGTCAAATCCGGATTGATAAATTCTGGTTGATGAATTAAGGGACATGCACCCCAAAACCTCAAAGTGCAGACATTCGCTAAAACGGTGCCCCCCGATCAATACCCCACGGGTCTCCATTCGTGCAGAAGCTTGGTAGTTCTTACACTCCCTGGTATGCAATGTATAAACCATATCTGACTAGTGGATCAATTTTTAGAACTTATAGAGTTCAAAGTCGGAATAATCAGATAATCCCAAGTTCTGATTCAAATCCTCGTATATGGTTCTAATCGTTCTAATGATCATTTTGTGATCGTCGTGGCAGTGAGGTTCTAGTGCAGGGCGCTCCCAAGAAGTTGACTGGGAAGGTGCGGCGACGGAGACGGGAGATATTCCACCGAAAGAGACATTTTGGGGTTTCCAATGGGGGTAGCCCATTGCTGGATGGTTTATTTCATGGAAAATCCCATCCAAAAATAGATGACTGGGGGTAGCCCCACAAAACCGAAACCTCCATTTGACCAACTGTGGCACTGTGGCAACAAAGATCGAGGATTGAACTGAACTGACAAGGACCTGAGTCTCGCGAACCAACATTGGAGTTCCATCAACAAAATACGTGGAAGAACAGAAGGCTCAGGGAGCTACAGATTGGCCGGTCGCTATTAGATGTTATTAGCTTGCCATTGGGGAAACAGATCCATCACTGCGGTTTGATACCTCCAGTTTCATGGGTTTCATGGCTGATATAATATATTCCTTGATTCCTCGAAAAGTTTGGTTACTCTCACCCCAAGGCCCCATCTTCATCCATCCTGGGCCGCAAAGGCTTGTAGTTTCTTTTTTCCTGCCCCAACCGCTGGAACAAAACCATGTTTTCCCATGTTTTCCCCCTTTTTCGAGGTCAATGGTGACAGGGATTTACACAAACCGAAGAGATATCTCGAAAGACTTGCAGATGTCCACTTTGACTTCTACTTACTGTACTAGTGCTTAGTAATGAGGGAATGATCCATAATCACTAGTAGTGATCCCAGCAACCCCCAGCAACCAATCCATTCCCTACACTGTGGGGCGAGGAGGCCCAACGTGGAGAGGAACCGAGGCGCCTGTCATCGGAGACTGGGTTAGAGCCATTGGATAATGGGATAAGATTAGTACAGAACACACAAGATCCAACAAGGCCTCCTATTGATACATCAACACATTTTGTTGCCATGGCAGATTTCTTGTCTGGTTCTGTTCTGTTTTGAACAGCTTTTGCGACAAACAGCTGTGGTTGGTGGTTTCAAACCGCTTTAATTTTTCGTCCTTAGCTGGCGTGGTCATCGCAAGAATCCCAGATGATAACCTGACCGGGCAAACAACGCTGTCGGAGAAATCTTCGTGTGAGGTTCTCTTCAAATCTGAATCCCCACTCCATCCATCTCCATCCCATGGTTGAGACATATTGAGACAAAGCGAGGGATTTGGAGGTGAGGTGACCCACATCTCCAGAAACAGCTTGGTGACCGTACTGGCTCCAACGTAGGCGTCCGAGCTTTTCGGGCCAAAGCCACCCGCAGTTAGGTGCGGTGGGGGTTGGTCTTGCAAATTGTGGGAGAGTTCGCCGGAGTGTCATGAAATTTGGGGTGGATTTCCAGTATAGTGTTTTGATATACATTTCTGTCCAGTTTAAGAAGATTCTCAAATCGGCCTCAGCACTGCTACTCAAGGTGGAGTATTCAGTTTCCTTTAGGCTTGTCATGCACGTGGAAGATCGCTGTAGGCGGCTCTCAGCGGAAGCCGAAGAAGAGTAGCAGCCAGAAGCGGGTCGCAGCCCTTTTGAAAAGGACTGGCTGGGTCTCACAAGTCTGGTTGATGGTTTCAAAACAGTATTTTCTATTTTGCATCCTATTGGGGGGATGCTCCCAGTTGATCTTCATATTTGTTTGAACGAGTTCTGTGGTTTGAAACCAGCAAGCGCAGGGTTCCAGGCCGGTTACATCCGTATCTATTATGTACGTATATATATATATATGTATGTATGTATGTATGTATGTAATGTAATTTAATGTAACGTAACGTAATGTATTGTAATGTAATGTAATGTATGTATGTACGTATGTACGTATGTACGTATGTACGTATGTACGTATGTACGTATGTACGTATGTACGTATGTACGTATGTACGTATGTACGTATGTACGTATGTAGCTATGTACGTATGTGATGTATGTAATGTATGTAATGTATGTAATGTATGTAATGTATGTAATGTATGTAATGTATATAATGTATGTAATGTACGTATGTATGTATGTATGTATGCATGTATGTATGCATGTATGCAATGTATGTAATGTAATGTAATGTAATGTAATGTAATGTATGTATGTATATATGTATGTATGTATGCATGCATGTATGTATGTATGTACATATGTATGTATGTATTAATGTAATGTAATGTAATGTAGTGTAGTGTAGTGTAGTGTAATGTAATGTAATGTAATGTAATGTATGTATGTATGTATGCATGTATGTTATTAATGTATGTATGTAATTAATGTATGTATGTAATTAATGTATGTATGTAATTAGTGTATGTATGTAATTAATGTATGTATGTATGTATGTATGTATGCATGCATGTATGTATGTATGTATGTATGTATGTGTATGTGTATATGTATATGCATATGGATATAGATATAGATACATAGATATATAGATATATAGATTTAGATATGTATATATATATATACAATAATATATATATATATACAATAATATATATATATATATACAATAATATGTATATATATACAATAATATATATATATATACAATAATATGTATATATATATATGCATACAATCATATATACATATATATATATATATATGTATAAATATGTACATGCATAAATTAACGAGCTATGTCAGGTTTGGTCAGTTTAACGTAATTTTTTGCTGGTTTTTGCATCTTCTGAGGCCTACTTGAATGCCGACATTCGGCTAACTGTGGCAATACTCACGCTGACAAAGTGGGACGAAGATGATTGGAGTAAGCTCACTCAGGTTTTCTGGTACAACCAGTGATACACCATGGCACATAGAAAATCTTAGCGTATGAATAAACTATACAACCATCACCACATATACCCACCGAAAAGGATTCATTATTGCGTTTACCACATTCCTCATTTTTCTTTCTGGATATCCGGAGTTTTGCTGCCCCATGGTTTGGTGATTCAGTCTCCATTTTTTGGGTCCATGTTTGGACCCCCCAAAATGGGGACCAAAGCGTTCCAAGTTTGTACCAAGTTGTTCCAAGCTTTTCGTTGGATTTGTTATTTACTTATTATTCATGCATTATTCATTCATCAATGATTATTGCTGTATAGTAAGCCCAAAAAGATAGAACAGTGATTATTCATTATCTTCGTGGGATTTTGCCTTTCTATCTTTTTTGGGGGATACATTCATGGCTTTGTCTGCAAATGGAACAACCCCAAATCCCATGATTTTCTCAATCAAAGGGCATTTTGGGATATACTGCATTTGTGGACTTGACATATATTCATACATACATTATACATACATACACACACAATATAGATACATGGAGATAGACATATCATTGGATTGGAGGGAACATTGGGTTTCACAGGAACCCCGGTTTTCCCCCGATATTTGATGGTAGAAAAGCCATCGTTTCCGGATGTTCCCCAGCGGTCACAGGACCCACGAGATTCCCGGGGAGGAATCCTGGCGAAGGGCTCGGTCTCCCAGAGATCTCCGCTACGTAGGATTCTGAGAAGTGGGATGATATGGTTATTATAATAGTTACTAAACCATAATAGTTTCTATTCTAAGCCATCATAATGATAGGGTTCTTATTATAAGTCATAATAGTTACCACGCTCACTATGGTATATATTAATACTACTATGAACACCTAAAAATACCATGGGATGATCTATAGTTACTCTGGATTTAGTGATATATAACTTACAAAACTCACCCATTTATGCCAGATCTATAGTTACTATGGTAGAGATATATCTACTCCCCATGATTGACCATAGTAACTATAGTAACTATAAATATATCTACCATAATCCCTAGTTATTGGAGTTATAATCCCATTATATATAACAAGGGTCATTTACATTGATACTTGGTGAAGTTTCAGGCGGGGAAAAGAAGACTTTCTATTACACGTGCTTGACTATTCTAATAACAACAGCATAGGAAATAGGTGTTTAATATATATATATTATATATGTAGTATATATATATTATATATGTAGTATATATATATATTTTATATGTAGTATATATATATACACATGCTATTTACCACGTGGAGGTCACTCCGAGGGGTTGAATCCCCAGAGATCACATGAACAATATCAAGACGGGGATATCACCAGCAGATTTTTTTCGAGTTTGATACCGTCCAAGAGGGAACTGAGGGAACTTCAACATGAATAGATCCAAATACTCCAGGCTTTCCAGAACCAGAGGAAGGTGTTGTTTTCTTTGAAATAATAATATCAACCACGGAATTGGGGATGGTATATCGGTACACCCAACAAATCTAGAAAAATCAGCAGGGTACTGTTGCTGGTTCTTGCGCGGCTGGAATAAACATGCCCTTTTTGGACTCCCAAACAGAGACCATGTCCATCTTCCAGGGTGCTGATGAGTTTTGCTACCAGATCTTTCCTCCTCTATATCTCAATACATACATATGTATTATATGTATATATATATATGTATCATATATATACATATATATATAAATATATATATATATGTATATACACATACATACATACATACATACATACATACATACATACATACATACATACATACATACATTACATACATTACATACATTACAGACATTACAGACATTACATGCATTACATACATTACATACATTACATACATTACATACATTACATACATTACATACATTACATACATACATACATACGTACGTGCATGCATACATACATACGTACATACGTACATACGTACATACGTACATGCGTACATACGTACATACGTACATACGTACATCCACACATACCATACCATACCATACCACACCGCACCATTACATTACATTACATTACATTACATTACATGCATGCATGCATGCATACATACATACATACATTACATACAATACATACAATACATACAATACATACAATACATACAATACATACAATACATACAATACATACAATACATACAATACATACAATACATACAATACATACAATACATACAATACATGCAATACATGCAATACATGCAATACATGCAATACATGCAATACATGCAATACATGCAATACATGCAATACATGCAATACATGCAATACATGCAATACATGCAATACATACAATACATACAATACATACAATACATACAATACATACAATACATACAATACATACAATACATACAATACATACAATACATACAATACATACAATACATACAATACATACACTACATACAATACATACAATACATACAATACAATGCACACAATGCATACAATGCATACATGCATACATGCATACATGCATACATGCATACATGCATACATGCATACATGCATACATGCATACATGCATACATGCATACATGCATACATGCATACATACATACATACATACATACATACAATACATGCATGCATGAATGCATACATTACATTCATTACATACATTACATACATTACATACATTACATGCATTACATTACATACATTAAATTACATACATTACCTTACATACATTACATTACATACATTACATTACATTACATACATTACATACATTACATACATTACATACATTACATACATTACATACATTACATACATTACATACATTACATACATTACATACATTACATACATTACATACATTACATACATTACATACAGTACATACATTACATACATTACATACATTACATACATTACATACATTACATACATTACATACATTACATACATTACATACATTACATACATTAAATACATTACATACATTACATACATTACATACATTACATACATTACATTACATACATTACATTACATACATTACATTACATACATTACATTACATACATTACATTACATACATTACATTACATACATTACATACATTACATTACATACATTACAATACATACATTACATACGTTACATACATGACATACATTACATACATTACATACATTACATACATTACATACATTACATACATTACATACATTACATACATTACATACATTACATACATTACATACATTACATACATTACATACATTACATACATTACATACATTACTTACATTACATACATTACATACATTACATACATTACATACATTACATACATTACATACATTACATACATTACATACATTACATACATTACATACATTACATACATTACCTACATTACATACATTACATACATTACATACATTACATACATTACATACATTACATACATTACATACATTACATACATTACATAACATTACATAACATTACATAACATTACATAACATTACATAACATTACATAACATTACATACATTACATACATTACATACATTACATACATTACATACATTACATACATTACATACATTACATACATTACATACATTACATACATTACATACATCACATACGTACATACATACATACGTACATACATACGTACATACGTACATACGTACATACGTACATACGTACATACGTACATACGTACATACATACATTACATTACATTACATTACTCTACATTACATTGCATTACATTACATTACATTACATTACATTACATACATACATTACAATACATACATACATGCATACATTACATTACATGACATTACATTACATTACATAACATTACATTACATTACATTACATTACATACAATACATACATTACATTACATTACATACATTACCTTACATACATTACATTACATTACATTACACTACATTACATTACATTACATACATTACATTACATTACATTACATTAAATTACATTACCATACATACATACATACATACATGCATACATACATACATACATACATACATTACATACATTACATACATTACATACATTACATACATTACATACATTACATGCGTTACATGCGTTACATGCGTTACATACAGTACATACATTACATACATTACATACATTACATACATTACATACATTACATACATTACATACATTACATACATTACATACATTACATCCATTACATACATTACATACATTACATACATTACATACATTACATACATTACATACATTACATACATACATACGTACGTACATACATACGTACATACGTACATACGTACATACGTACATGCGTACATACGTACATACGTACATACGTACATACATACATTACATTACATTACGTTACATTACATTACATTACATACATTACATGCGTTACATGCGTTACATGCGTTACATACAGTACATACATTACATACATTACATACATTACATACATTACATACATTACATACATTACATACATTACATACATTACATACATTACATACATTACTACATTACATACATTACATACATTACATACATTACATACATTACATACATTACATACATTACATACATTACATACATTACATACATTACATACATTACATACATTCCATACATTACATACATTACATACATTACATACATTACATACATTACATACATACATACGTACGTACATACATACGTACATACGTACATACGTACATACGTACATGCGTACATACGTACATACGTACATACGTACATACGTACATACATACATACATACACATCATACATTACATACATACATACGTTACATACATTACATACATTACATACATTACATACATTACATACATTACATACATTACATACATTACATACATTACATACATTACATACATTACATACATTACATACATTACATTACATGCGTTACATGCGTTACATGCGTTACATACATTACATACATTACATACATTACATACATTACATACATTACATACATTGCATACATTACATACATTACATACGTTACATGCGTTACATGCGTTACATGCGTTACATGCGTTACATGCGTTACATGCGTACATACATACATTACATACATACATACATACATACATACATACATACATACATACATACATACATACATACATACATACATACATACATACATACATACACACACAGACATACATACATACATACGTACGTACGTACGTACGTACGTACATACGTACATACGTACATACGTACATACGTACATACGTACATACATACATACATACATGCATACATACATACATACATACATACACGTGATATTGTACAAGGACACAACCATGTATCAATATCATACAGTTCCTAAGTCCTGGAGTGCTGAGGACGTGGACAACAGCAAACTGTGGAAAGTCTTCGGCGCTTTGGCTGCCAGAAACTGCCCTAACGATAGCCACCGGTGGTTGATGGTGAAATTTTGGGGATATCTTCGGAATGCATACACGTCTCTTAACCATCAAAGATTAGGGATTTAAGCTACGACAAAGATACGGAACGGCAACGACAATTTTTTGGGTATTCGCTTCAAAAGTGAGGATATAACCCGGACAGGATTGTTGGGTGAAGGGTAGTATTGGGGCTTCAATGTACGTGGTTGAATAGGGAGTATAACACTCCAGTATGGAATCCTTATGAACGATTCAGTGGGTTGAGCCCACTTAGCCTCAATCTTGTTAGTTAGTTGGTTGCCCCTAAAACCTGGGTTTTCTAAACCACAAGAAGTGGAACTGTGACCCCCTTTGACTGGGGTCACAGCTCCTCGATGAATTTAGTTCTTCACCCTAAGAACTAGGGTTTCCAACCCATAGCAGTGAGATTCTATGACCCCAGGGCCCCATGGATATCAAATTGTCCTCAAAGTGAGGCTTGTCCTCAAGCTGGGGGTTACATAGTTGTCTTGGTGTATGATCAACTTTCTGAGAGACGGCATGGGTACCCACTTGGATGTGATCTTAATACTCACATAACTTGCAAATCAGGTGCAGATACAGACCCTGCGACATCCCATATAAGTGGCTAAAGTGCACCAACCGTCACCCATATCGACCACCACCCATACCCGTGGGAGCTCCAGCAGCTCCAGGACTCCACACGGCGGCAGGGCGAAATCTCAAGAAGTTGTACCAGCCGCCCTACGTGCCTCGCGTACGAAGCTCTGGGTCCTTGGCACCTGCAGGCGGCACCGGCACCTGAGCTGGCCGAGAAAATGGAGTGGCCATGGTTGGAGAACATAGACCATACAAAATGACTCAAGATATGGTTATTTCATTTTTCCCCCAACAGCGTAAGCTAATGGGGTCTTCAGCCCAGAATAGCTCCGGTGTGCACTGGTGCAGGCGCCGGGTCAGGTTCAACGAGGTCCCGGAGAAAGTTCTGAAGGTTCCGGAGAAGGTCTGGGAGGCTTTGGTGCAGAGCCAGGTCAGGTTCAACAGGGTTCCGGAGAAGGTTCCGGAGAAGCTTCCGGAGAAGGTTCCGGAGAAGGTTCCGGAGAAGGTCTGGGAGGCTTTGGTGCAGAGCCAGGTCAGGTTCAACAGGGTTCCGGAGAGTCTGGGAGGCTTTGGTGCAGAGCCAGGTCAGGTTCAACAGGGTTCTGGAGAAGGTTCTGGGAGGCTTTGGTGCAGAGCCAGGTCGGGTTCAGCAGGGTTCCGGAGAAGGTTCCGGAGCAGGAAGCCTTGGTGCAAAGCCAAGTCAGGTTCAACGAGTTTCATAGAAGGTTCCGGAGAAGGTCTGGGAGGCTTTGGTGCAGAGAAGGTTCCGGAGAAGGTCTAAGAAGCTTTCATGCAAGCGCTCAGGTTCAACAGGGTTCCAGAGAAGGTTCCGGAGAAAGTGTGGGAGGCTTCGGTGCAGAGCCAGGTTAGGTTCAACAGTGTTCCGGAGAAGGTTCTGGAGAAGGCTTCATAGCTTTGGAGCACGCTGAGGTGTTTCCAGCGCTTGGATTCGCAGCACGCTTCAGAAAGATATGTAAATATAGAACGTTGCGGCTGTTGGGGATACCACCGAAGCTTATTTTAGTCATAATGATAATAATAGTAACAATAATACAATGATGATGATGATGATGATGACGATGACGATGAACAACTAGCCAGAGCCAAAGTTATGGCAATTTTATCATGGGGGTTTGATGATGATCAACTATTTTTCCCGAATGCGTAGCGAAGGGTTCCCGTTTATAGTCTGGGGGTCTGGGGGCTGGACCCTTGTTCGCCTCGAGTGTCTCGTTGGGTCGTCGTCGGGTCGTTAATTCCGTGTCTATGGGGGAAGCTGCAAAACCTCTCCTTTTCGAAGGTTTCCAAGCAGGTTGTCATGTCGTTTTGCATGGCAGGCGTGGCACTTTGTAACATTCCAACCTGTTTGATAACGCGTCGGCAGTGTCAAAATTGGAGGAAGTCTCGCACGAAATGCTCGTTTTGCTGCGCCCGCGTGTCTCGTCTCGAGCCTTTGGTTTTCTAGACACGTCGCCGTGTCTATATGGGGAAGCTGCAAAACGTCTCCTTTTCGAAGGTTTCCAAGCAGGTTGTCAGGTGGAGTGTGGAGTGTAAAGTGCAAAGTGTAAAGTGTGGAGTGTAAAGTGTCGAGTGTGGAGTGAGGAGTGTCAAGTGTAAAGTGTGGAGTGCGGAGTGTGGAGTGTAAAGTGTAGGGTGTGGAGTGGAAAGTGTAGAGTGTGGAGTGTGGAGTGTAAAGTAAGGAGTGTGGAGTGTAAAGTGTGGAGTGGGGAGTGTAGAGTGTGTAAAGTGCAGAGTGTGAGTGTGGAGTGTAGAGTGTAAAGTGTAGAGTGTAAAGTGTAGAGTGTGGAGTGTGGAGTGTAAAGTAAGGAGTGTGGAGTGTAGAGTGTGGACTGTGGAGTGTAGAGTGTGGAGTGAGGAGTGTAAAGTGTGGAGTGAGGAGTGTACAGTGTAAAGTGTAAAGTGTGGAGTGTAGAGTGTAGAGTGTAAAGTGTGGAGTGTAAAGTGTAGAGTGTAAAGTGTAGAGTGTAGAGTGTGGAGTGTAGAGTGGGAAGTGTGGAGTGTGGAGTGCAAAGTGTGGAGTGAGGAGTGTAAAATGTAAAGTGTGGAGTGAAAAATGTAAAGTGTAAACTGTAGAGTGTGGAGTGTGGAGTGTAGCTTGTAAAGTGTAGAGTGTAAAGTGTAGAGTGTGGAGTGTGGAGTGTAGAGTGTAGAGTGTGGAGTGTGGAGTGTAAAGTAAGGGCGATTGTGGAGTGTAAAGTGTGGAGTGGGGAGTGTAGAGTGTGTAAAGTGCAGAGTGTGAGTGTGGAGTGTAGAGTGTAAAGTGTAGAGTGTAAAGTGTGGAGTGTGGAGTGTAAAGTGTGGAGTGTAAAGTGTGGAGTGTTGAGTGTAGAGTGTGGTGTGTGGTGTGTGGAGTGTAGAGTGTGGAGTGTGGAGTGAGGAATGTAAAGTGCGGAGTGAGGAGTGTACAGTGTAAAGTGTAAAGTGTGGAGTGTAGAGTGTAGAGTGTAAAGTCTGGAGTGTAAAGTGTAGAGTGTAAAGTGTAGAGTGTAGAGTGTGGAGTGTAGAGTGGGAAGTGTGGAATGTTGAGTGTGGAGTGCCAGGTGTGGAGTGAGGAGTGTAAAATGCGAAGTGTAAAGTGTAGAGTGTGTAAAGTGCAGAGTGTGAGTGTGGAGTGTAGAGTGTAAAGTGTAGAGTGTAAAGTGTAGAGTGTGGAGTGTGGAGTGTAAAGTAAGGAGTGTGGAGTGTAGAGTGTGGACTGTGGAGTGTAGAGTGTGGAGTGAGGAGTGTAAAGTGTGGAGTGTTGAGTGTAAAAGTGTAAGAGTGTAGAGTGTAAAGTGTAGAGTGTGGAGTGTAGAGTGTAAAGTGTAGAGTGTAAAGTGTAGAGTGTGGAGTGTGGAGTGTAAAGTGTGGAGTGTGGAGTGTAAAGTGTGGAGTGAGGAGTGTGTAAAGTGTAGAGTGTGGTTCCACACTCCACACTCTACACTCCACACTCCACACTTTACACTCCACACTCCACACTCTACACCTTACACTCTACAATTTACACTCTACACTCCACACTCTACACTTTCCACTCCACACTCCGCTCTCTACACTTTCCACTCCACACTGCAGACTGGTAACAGGGGAAATATGTACAACACTGTTCAAGTAAACTCTTGCAGACAAGTGTTCTGCGTGACTGCATGTCCATGTGTTTCGACATCTGTACCATTAACATACGTGTGAGCATTCCGGTTCGTGGGCTGCATCTTGTTTTTTAAAAACATAAATTTTAGCCAATGTTTCAGACAAACTCATGTGGGAAGATGGAATTGTGGCTGCCGCGAAAAGTGAGATGGCATAAAAAAATGTAAAAGAAAAAAACAGCGGGCCTGAAGGTCTGAACGGGGCAGAGCCAGTCTGGAAAGACAGACATAGCTTGGACTGGGACCTATTCTTGCAGCAAAATAACATAGATGATGTGCAAAATCCACCAGTTGTAGATGATTTTCCGAAGGGTTTCCCCCATGGATTGACTCGAGAACTGAGTCACTAAGCCTTGTGCGATAGGTGCGAGCTGCCAAGAGAACTCCTGGACTAGTCCCTTCGAGCAGGCTGTGTCGCGAGGCGTTGGAAAGATTCGGAAGATGTGGTCAACCTTCTCAACCACGAATGCGTGGAGTACTAGAACTGAGCAATTTTGTGGGACCAACAAATTGTTGGTTTATGACATTTATGACTGTTTATTGGTGCCCAAACCATAGCCATGAGATGCCATGAGTGAAACTGCCATGACCCTTCAGCCAAGTTGAGTTTTTGGCATGGGGGTTAGGACATCAATCCAACCATCCATCGACATCCCAGTAAATTGAGTGAATAGGAACCAAACATACAGAAACGTACTTTATACCGCTATTTTATTCTATTTTAGTTGAACTAACAATATATATTCTATCTTGTTTTTTGGGTTGCTATCCGCCCAACCTTCATTCAACTCTTAGGGTTTTCGGACTCCTGTCTTTCAGTCTGTGGCAGGCTTCAAGGATCACCCCACCAAGGGCCGGAACAGGGTTCGCCCCAGTGCTCCCATGTTTGGGAACTCAGCGGAAGTCGGCACTGATAGTGGGGCTACTAGGAATAGCAACCATGGTGAACCAACAGTCAGGGGTATCATTCAATTTACTATGCTTGGTGGTGACTGAGATCAATCTAAGAGATGTTGGTATGACGATACCACTTGACTCATTCATGTTTTAGGGTGCAGGATCGGGAAAAACCAGTAGCCAGTTCTGGAGTTTTAGGCAACATATTCCGCGGCTCAACTTCTTTGGACTTGAGTATTCTGAAACCAACCATTTTGATTGGTCAGATCGCTGTGACGGGATGGATATTTCGGCTGATCAACAGGAACTCATTGCAGGGTAAAACCTTCGGCTTCCTCCACAAGATACGCATTGAGGCTAGCATGGTGAGCCTGCGGATGCCG